GGTTGCATTTTTCTTGAATATCTTGTTTGATTTGAAACTAGAAGTTGTTTCTCCGTTCCAATCTCTCCTGACTCGGGGGCAGAGGGCTGCTGCATAGCACTTTTTATTATGTTTTGCATGCGTCTGGTCAGAGACTCGTCTGTTTGGGTTAAATACAGGTTAACTACGTGTTGTGGCATGCTTGCTGCTATCTCTCCAATCTTCTGTCGTGCTGTAAAGACAACCTCTTTCCATCCTTTGCTGTTAAGAGTGTTGTAACATTCGAGAACAACACTTTTTTCTTTCTCTCCAATTCCGACCCGACTTTTCTTTGAGGGACCTAAAATTCGTAATAAACAACAAACTATAACTAAGTATGGTTGAGGGTTGATATCGAAAGTACCAACATAAAAGTTATATGTTTAGATACTGACCTGGCACGTTTGCTGAACAATTCATTTATTAGAAATTCGAAAGTAGTCAGCTGAGTGTAAATATGAATCCTCTCGCTCCGTACACAGCAAGTGCAATATGCAAATTTTTAACGCACGCATGATGATTCACGTGTGAATGGCATGAAAAATGCCGTGTTTTATGTTGGAATGCGCATCTTCGCTCAGCAGTTCATGCAGCATGGATGCGCAGCAAGTCCGAGTAGTTCTTTTAAATATAGTCGCCTGGATATTGCTGTTTGTYGCCTTTATTAGGCCACCACCTCAACAAAATCTGTTTCCCTTACAACATCGTCTTTTTGAGAATTTTCACGGGGAAATATTTCGTGGTAGAGATGTGTTTTCTCTTATATCAAGGAAAGCGCACCTCTTCTGGCGAAACACTGGCGAAACTCCTGTGTCGTTTCTCAAACTTGCGAACGATATCCTCCCAACCTTGCAGAACTTAAGATTAGACGGGCAACCCCGTGTACGCCAGAGGAGACTGAAAATAAACGTAGTTAACCAAGTTCTGCTTGTGATGATGTGGTTACGTAAATATTCTYATATAGACACTTTAGCACTGTGGTTTGATATAGACCCTACGTCCGTTATCCGCATTATTTACAGGACGTTACCAGTAATGTGGAGATATTTTCAAAATCAAATCACCTGGCCGAACCTCGCGGAGTGGAGAAATCGAATGGGCAGCTGGCCAGAGTTACCAAATGCCGTCGGTGCTATAGATGCAACCCCGCATGAGATTTATTGCCCTCTGGCGGAGCCTCAGCGACCATTTTACAGTGGCCATAGGCACTATCACTGCCTAAACACTCAATTGGTAATGGATAATGAGGGCCATATTCGGTTTCTTCAGGCTGGCTTCTTGGGTAGCACACATGATGCGACTGCTTATAGGTTAATGCAGCCTATAGGGCCCGGTTTAGTCCTAGATTTACCGCCAGGTGTTAAACTGTTGGGCGATAGAGGGTATCCTGATTGAGGAGCTCTACTAACACCTGTTCGTGCAGGTCAGATGCCTCTGTTAAACCAAAGAGGGAGGAGACGTGCCAGAAAGTTCAACCGAGCTCTATCGAAAAGAAGAGT